CTTTTTGCAATCTAATATAGTGATAGGTTATTGAAAATCTATTTCACCATATGTGAGGTTCTTTCTAATCCCAAGGGATCAGACACATTTCCCCAGGTCAATATATATTTCAGATCTTACCCAAATATCACAGTCAGCCAATCCCCCATAAACTAACTAAAGATTTATTAATAAAAGAAGAGAGTTATAAATGGTTAAGGAATCATATACATACAAGTGATTTGCAAAGTGCTTATATCAGGTTTGTAGGAGTGATGGAATAAACTGTTAGTTTGGAAAAGTCTCTGTGGAATCACCCAAACTCCATGTTTAAAGCTTCCTTGTTAGAAATCTGGTCCAGAGCAATGAAGCAGAAAATGAAGACAAAATGGAGATGTTTCAGGTGCCTTCTTATATCCTCTGCCATGTGCATGGAAATTTACTGTCCCAAACAAAGCCCACAGCCCATGTCCATTGACAGATACTGTCCCAAGATGGAATCCAGGGTCACATGAGTATGGAAAATTACTGGGAGAAGATGTGACCTGAGACTCCATGTCCTCATCATATGTCCTTACACGCTTTGCTGACTCATAGGGGCGGCCACTGGTACCTGGCTGTCTGAGGCATCCTCAGGAAGGGCTATCTGGACCAATGGGCCATTATGCGAGCTGAGTGTCTTTGATGGGCCATCAACACATAGCTGGCTAGCCTTGATGTAAATCCTGTCTCCGGGGTGCCGCTCAGGAATACATCATATGTGTAAGGTACAAGTACATAGCCAATATTCATAACTTCAGTACAAAGATGATACATGCATATAAACCAGATAAACATACTTAGCAAATCATAAATTTTCCATTGACACCTTACATGACAGACTTTGTACAAGATTCGTTGTAATGGTGGTATCAATAATGATACAAATAGTGATTCTTATACATAGCATCACACACACATTAGGCAAATTAATTACACCAGGGATCTATTTGGCCCAGAAAGATTTTCTGGAATTGTTGTGCCTTTTGTTGCTGTTTCGCCTTAGCAGTGTTTGGTCTGGAAAGGAGATTTCTTGGGAAATAAACAGCAGTCTGTGTATAAAGTCTTGTGATGTGTACAGGTGCTAAAAAACTGGGTGGGAATGCTGTTTAACAAACAGTCGTGGTGGGAAATGTGTATTTACTCTTCTTGTATGAGAAACAGAATTGTCAGTTCATAAATTTCGGGATATTTGTTTTTTTACAATAAAGTATGGTGAATCCCCAATATTTCATGTGTTGGAGGCTGCCAAATCATAGTTAGCTGAAACCCAGGGTCTCTTATAAGGTTAAAAAAGTGTCTCATGACTTGGCCATTAGATGCTGAGACTCCTCAAGGAGTATGGGCCGTTAATGGAAATACCCCTCCAGCTTTCATGATTTTTTTTTTTTTTAAATCTGGTCTAATTACATTGACTTTTATGTATCCTATCAAATGGATTATCATGCATTGGCTTGGCAGGCTTGATACCCTGTGGGGGTCCTGAAGGAAACTTTCACAGTGGTGCCTTGCAACCCTCATCTTGTCTTTCTAGAAGCCCTATATCATCAAGTGAGATAAGTTACTGAAGTTCCCATTTTGACAGGTTTCAGAGGAACAGCCGTGTTAGTCTGTATTCGCAAAAAGAAAAGGAGTACTTGTGGCACCTTAGAGACTAACCAATTTATTTGAGCATGAGCTTTCGTGAGCTACAGCTCACTTCATCAGATGTTGTCCTTCACTAGTGTCCTTCACCATGTTGTCCTTCACTAGTGATTCATTGTGAATCAAAGTGCAGTATGACACTCAGCAACTGTCGCTGCATACTGAAGCCTCAATGAACTTGTTTAAACAAGAAGTTTACCACTCCACTGGTAGAAGGGTTGTTTTTTTTGTAGGATGGGTTTGATTTAAATCAATTTGATTTAAATCATGATTTAAATCAATAGTCAGGAAGTCTCAATTTAATCATGGTTTTCTACATAAAAGTGCATTCTTGTTGGTTGGTATAACCTCAATACGTATTCTTCACAACTCAGAGATGATGTAGGTTTCATTTTTAGAAGGTACACATTATACATTTTTAAAGAGTGATTTATTTTGAAAAATTTTCAAATTAGTTTTACAGCTATACCAGAAAATGAATGAATGGTTATTTCATTTACCAAAGGTAATTGAAGCAGATATTTAGAAGTCACTGGGAGGTGAACTATCTCCAATTCAACAGGTTAATCAGTAATATTTGGGGGATTTTCTTGCCATCCTCTGTTAGGAGGAGAACATCACCAGACAGACATTTAAATTGTTTTATTTAACTAAAACAACAATGTTAAGTATTCTGGACTTTTTTCTTCAACAGCAAACATATAGTAATATTTTAACAAAACAAGCATGTGTCCCTTGCTTCTCACATTTATCTCCAGACTTCTTCTCCTTGTCCAGATCTATTCCAGCCGCAACAATCTTTTATTAATTGAACATTTTGAAACTTTGCACTTTTAGAGAGAGGTAAGGGATTGACTCTGTGAACACATATTTGCAGAGGGACAATAGAGTTGAGGTCTGTTATTTCTCACCTCTATTATTTAAAAAAAATAAATTTGCTGTTAACAAGCATGTTACCTCTGGAGAGACAAATCCACAGTCTGAGAACTGCCAAACTAAGCATCTCTCATAAATATCAGGGTTGGAAGGGACCTCAGGAGGTCATCTAGTCCAACCCCCTGCTCAAAGCAGGACCAAACCCCAATTTTTGCCCCAGATCCCTAAATAGCCCCCTCAAGGATTGAACTCACAACCGTTGTTTTAGCAGGCCAATGCCCAAACCACTGAGCTATCCCTCCCCCCATGGTATCTTCTAGACTGAGCACGGAGTCCCATTGGGTAGATAGAAAGATTAACCTAAATAATCTATACAAAAGCCTGTGGAACCCCATAAGATTGGATCCCTAATCCATGAACTATTGGAACTCATTTACAAAACTTTTTTCTTAAACATTACATGAATATATTGTCTCGTACTATAGAATTAGAATTTATAATCCCTATTCCATGATGAGAGATCGTTGTGCTATAATGTATATTAATTAAAACTACCTTAAACTACATTTTTTCCTCAAAAAGCATTTTATCAAAAAAATTAGATTTAAATTTTAAAAATATATATATATATATTTTTAAATCTTTGATTTTTATCCACTCTGCTAGGCACCAACTTCAGAACTTTCTCTCTCTGGTTTTCTGTGTCCTCCAAGGAATCAGTAATACACAAATATGAAGTAGTCAAAAAAATTTCACTTGCTCCGAGGGGCTTCTGTAAAATACTAGTTAATATTTCAATTTCTTCTGACAATCCTAAATATTCTGAATCCAGAAAAAGCCAAAAATATTTGCTATTTTGTCTTATCTTTCCAAAATCACTAACAGTGAATACTTCCTGTGTGACTTCCTGTCTGGTTAGATTAAAACCTAGTCCTCCAACATTCTCTTTCTTCTCTTGATTCCACTAGGTGTGAAGAAGGAAATTTGAGACCAGCTAGTGGTAGAAGGAGTTTTTGACAGTTGTGCTGAACTTGAGGCCACAAAATAGTTGTAGGATTTGTTCCTTCACTGGACTCAATCATCCATCCAAGTGAAAGACCCCAATAGTGGTAGAAAACAATATACTTAAATTTGCAAATCAGTTTCCATTATACCAAGTCTTCAGTCATTTATTTTCTAAAATATTAATCTATTCAGCTGAATTTCTCCAAGTTTGGTCTCTGCCTGAATGTCAATGATTATTTCATTTTGTTTTTATTTAATGATGATGATTTTGAGAGAGAATTCTTCAGGTTTTTTTTCTTCTTTATTTTTATGTGTGTCTTTTTTGAGTCACACAAAGGTTACAAGTATATGTAAAATACACATTGCCTCTTCCTCCCGGGTATGTATGTATGTTCCTTTTCAAGGTCAATTTCCCCACTCCCCTCGGAACAAGCTACATAAATTTGCAAGTAGAAATTTGGTATGGACATAGTTCATAATGAGTTGTAAGTGCCTTGATACATATAGGGGGGAAATTGATTAGAAATAAAGTTGTGAACGTTTGCAAATGTACTCGGGCACAAGTGCAATAGAAAATCCCATGAACACTTGAACTATAATATTCACCATAGATGTACTGCACATGTGTGCACAGGTTCAATTGCGAAGTGAGACAGCTAATTCCAGTAGCTTTAAACCAGCCAGGATATTTATTAAAGAGGTTATCCACTTCCTGTTCTCCCCACTAAAGCCTAGGAGAATGATCATAGGACAAGGACCCAAGCCTTAATAATACTTTACAATTAGATAGGACTTTAGAAATATTATATAGGTTTCGTAACATCCTGAGGCAAAGAAGTTATGTGACTCGGTAATCACATAGCAGTTTATTTAGAGCCTCTTGATTAGAACCGAAGTCTGTCTGCGGACCCAGACGTTAACCGTAGTCCCTCCCAAACAAATCATAGTGCCTTAACTATCTCATTACTGAAATGAAGATTGTGCATTCTATACTGCAATTCTCTGTCAGGATGTATGATTCTGGACTGTATTATATTGTGTTCAACTGGCAATTTCTTAGTAATACAGAATGTTGAGCTTTCAGTCTTATCTGCTCATTATTTGACTTCTGAGTGCCTCATTTCTCAATATTAATATTGCATTAATAGATTTTTTTTGTATGGAACATGGTAATTAAATAGAAAAATAATTTATCGGTACTGGGTTTTTTAGTTGTTTTTGGTGAATTTAGCTAAATTCCATTCTTTTGATATGTATATATATTCTTTTAAAATAACCATGTAGCAGGGATAAAAACCAAAATAGCCTAGCAACAGCAGGGAGTGCGGATTCCTAGTCATCTGAACTAGTATAATAAAATAGTGTTATCCTACACCTTGAAAATCCTTTTGAAAAATCATAGTCCTATTTAAGTTAATATCTTTCTTTTGGAATGTAAATATTTTTCATATTTTTAGGCAGCTACTGTGAGAGTGAAGAAATTGGAAGAAAATATTGAGGCAGAGAGAGCAGCTCATCTGGAATCCAAATTTAATTCTGAAATTATCCAGGTAAACCAGTGTCAAATATTTGTGGAATTTCCACAGTATATGATGGACCAGCTAGTAGAACTGTAAGACCCCAATCCTGAAAAGATTTATGCCTGTGTTTAAATTTATATATGTGAGTAGTCCCAATTCAGTAGGACTATGCACGCTGGCAGCCTGTGGAGAAGTTTTTGCAGAAACAGGGCCTAAACGCATACTAGTTATTGCATGACTGTAGGCGAAATTTTTTTAAATTTTAAAAATTGTGGCAAAACTGTCAAAAGGAAATGTCCTACTGTTAAAACATTCCTTTACTGTTAAAATACCCAATAATTATACTTTTGCCAGGATTGCTGATGGAACTGAATGGAGATTTAAAGTACATATGTAACTGTTTCATGGGAGCAACAAACTATGTAACTTAGTCGGTAGTTCTCTCTGAAACTACTGTTTTAAATATGATTTTCAGTGAACAGATTTTAACTTAAAACAAGATGATAGTACAGTATTGGCAGATAACAAACGTGACTGTGTCAGCTTGCTCTAGATGGTCTTTCAAATAAAGTGTTAATCACAGTTTACTTTAAAGAACAAACAAGAAAACTTAAGGTGCTGAAATTATTTTCAAAATTTATGCTTTTCGTTATTTGTGCTCTTTTTGCATTCGGACTAACTAGTGTCATTTTGTAGCCCATTATATTTTCTGGTTCTTGTGCTCACTAGTTCTCACTGCAAACACTTTTCTAAATGACCATTATACTAATACAAAAAAGAATAAAGAAAAATATATTTAATTTTCCGCCTTTACATAATATAACTGAATTGGGAGGGCAAATTTCTTTGGTGTTAGAGGATCTGTTTTACAAACAGAAGACTGGTAAGCTTTTCTGTTAGTAGTCGATGTACATGGAGTTGTCACATTTCTGCTCTCCATTGTATGCAACTCTAACCTTCACCATTAATTCTATGCTTTATGCTTTAATGGGACAAAAAATAGAAAATCTCTGAGAAAACTTACCAGTGTACTTAAATTAATTAATAAAAATCTAAATTCCACCAAAATATAGTAGTCTGAGTAAAAGCACCTTATATCTTTTTTTTATTTTTCTCTGCTCTTTATAGTGTGTATTCATATCCCTTTGTGTGCTCAGCGCTCCCTCACTCTCACACAGACACAGCAAAAGAGAACACTACTGAAGATTAATGATAAGCTTTCCCTAACTTGCTTTAATTGCTTTCTTATCATTTGATAGTTAAGGATTCGAGACCTTGAAGGAGCTTTGCAGGTAGAAAAAGCCAGCCAAGCAGAAGCTCTTTCTGATTTGGAAATGATCAAGAAAGAGTTCAAAGAGGTGGAAAACGCATATGAGAGAGAGAAACATAATGCCCAAGAGAGCTTGGAAAAACTCAATATGTAAGTTTATTTATCTACTAAATGTATTGTAAGCCAGCAGTAACAGCATTTGTAGTATTATAATTACATCCTTCTTAGGTTGCAGTTACTAGAAGATGACATGATCACACACACTTGAACAGGCCTGACATTCCATCAGTGCTGGTACATATACACACTGTGGGAAGATAGAGAAATGTAACCTATTTTATATGGATCATATGCAAAACATTCATATTGGGATGCTTGCTAGCAGCGTTGCATGTGACAACATTTTTTTTTCTTCTTAGCAAGTTAATATGGATTTATTTTTGTTAAGGGAAACTCTTAATTTACAGATTTTCAGAGAAGCTGCAGATTATTCAGGATGAGGAATGCCTCTTAGCTTTTGTATGCAGTGTTATAGCCGTGTTGATTCCAGGATATTAGAGAGACTAGGTGGGTGAGGTAATATCTTTTATTGGAACAGCTTCTGTTTGGGTGAGAGAGAAGCTGTTGAGCTTACATGGAGCTCAGATCTGGGAAAATTGAAGTAGGTTTTCTTAGGGTATTTGGGTGGCTCATTCCATGATGCAATCTGCTTCTCTCACGGAGTGTTCTTGTTTGGTAAAAGTGGTTTTGAGTGAGTTAAGGTGTATATCCCAGAGCATATTCTGTGGTATCTGAGTGCCTGGCTGTAGATAAGAGATTTTTTTGGTGTGTTTGGGGTGATTATTGGATCTGCAAAAATAGGCGCCTCTCTCTCAGGCCCCAGCCCAGCCTGGATCTGCCGCGGCTCTCTTCTCTTCCTTTATGAGAGAACACATTTATATATATATATGTCACTGCTTTAGTCAAAACTTATGTTAATTAGTTTATCTGTCAGTGCTACTTTGCTCTTACTCTCCCCATTAATTTATCCTTGTACGTGGTATCAAATCTGTGAATCCAACTCTTAAATTATTTCATTCAAGATCTTGGAATCAACCAAGAAAGTGATTTTAAGGCTGGAGATTGGTGGGGCTACATGGCAGAGACTTTAGGCTCTTAAAGTTTTAACTTGAATAATTCATCTTCCAGTCCTCCTCCCTTTTGGTACCTAGAACACTGTAGAATCCACTGAAGTCCACTAAACTTAGTAAACCAATTATCTCTTATTCTTTAGCTGTCCTAATATGACTGTTAAAGGAAAATATTTTACTGCTTTAGTAAAATTTCCAGAGGCTTTCTCTTTCCACTATCCTTTCCTTAAGTATGTTTTACTTCCTTCAGGAAATATTTACTCTTTCAATACAGTTTTCCTAGCAGCTTTGTCCTGTTCTCTTTTCTTTAAAATGTCATACTCTTCTAGTACCCACTTTTTCCCCCCACAGCTGTTTTCAAACTGCACAAATATTGTGTTTTGATCAGAGGTTCTTAAGCTGTGATCTATGGAACGCTTGCAGGTGTTCACATACATCTTGTTGTTCACATACATCTTGTTCCTTTTCCATGCTTTCATTTGCTAAATCTTATGAAAAGATATCTAAAAATACATAAATATTTTTTTCATTTAAGAAATGGCTGTAATTGCAACAGGGATCTTATGTAATTATCGATTGTGTAGGGAGGTGGTTCATGCAACTGTCTCATGAAGCTCCTTTCTCCCATGCACAGCCTTTTTATATAAACATGGTCCCCACCATGAAAGTTTGTGGTTTTTTGTGGTAATCAGTAGGTCCGGATTTATCAAAAGGGAATGTTTAGAAAGCAAAGTAGTACCCTTGCATTAGAATGCTCTTTAATTATCCCATAAGAGTCTAATTTGTTTCTATCAGGTTTGCCCACTGACTGTGGTCATCTGTTTTGTTTTGTTTTTTTCCCCTCTCCATGCTACAATTCTTCTTCTGTTTTTTGGTTTGTCCTCTCCACCATTGCATTTTACATCAGAAGTCTATTGAGACCAAGCAAACATCCAAAAGTAAAACAAAATGCTTACCTCTGGAATGTTTCCTAATCTTGGACTCTGGCAAGACTTCAGAAGGGGATGAGATGGTGTTGAAAAAGGACTCTGTAACCCTGGCTTCCTCAGCATGCTTCCCTGCAAAGAGAAGGAAAAAGAGAAGGCCAGTATCTGATCTAGGTCATTTGAAAGAGGTCCCATCCAATATTTGATATACCTCTGTTTTTTCTCTTCACATTTAGTGTTCCAAACTGTCAGATCTCTTGCGTTAAAACAGGATCCAAAAAAAAAAAAAATATGGTAAAGCAAGGTCCATTACTAATCTGGAAGCAAAAGTTGGATGATGGAAAAATTTCACAGGCGCTTTTATATTTTAAACGAAAAAGAGGTTAAGATTGCCTAAATTATTCCACATATAAAATTGAGTGGTGAGAATAAAACAAGAAGTGGCTTGGATTCAGTACTATTTGACTTTCCATTACTTTTGTTTTATTAAAATAACTCTAAGTTCTGCCTTGGCTGTTATTGTTAGTAGGGACATGCCACTTGCAAAGTGCTGTGCACACTCAACTCCTGTTGTCTTTAGTGGGACCTGAGGCATCTCAGAGCCTTGCAAGATCAGACCATATACGTGTATGTTAATAGTTTTTTGTGGACATAGTACATTAGCATTATTTGATTGTATATGAATATGGAAAGTTGTCTAGTGATTACAGCATGGGGCTTGACATTCAAAGACTGGGTTTTATTGACTTTCTCCGTGGCCTTGGGCAGTCACTTAACTTGTCTGTGCCTCTATTTACACCTTTATGAAATGGAAATAACACATACCAATATAACAGTGATGTTGAGTCTTAATGTTTTAGTTGATTTGATATTTGAATGTGCTCTGGCAACAAAAATTATAATAACGATTTAAGAATAAAAATTAAACCGTATAGAATTAGATCATGTTTTCACAATTGTTTGAACATCTGTTTGAAATTTTGCAAATTGTTCAAACTGTACAACACACAATTTAGAATAGCACACAACTAGAGTTAATATATACTATATAGATAGTTTGGGTGCTACTGTTTAATAATGGTTAAAACCGGCAAGACTTCATTCAGTCTTGAAGCAACTTCAGAGCTAATGGAAGTGGTGAATTTTTTGTTTGTTAAATGCAATCTACTCTGCACCAAGGCCAAACTTATTTTTAAATTTATAATTTACGCTAAATCATAATTCAAAATGTTGACAAAAAATTAAAAATAATTCATAACCATGTTTTAGCTAATAAGTCTTTCAAAATATCTCTAGAAAAAACAGACTTACAAAATCTCAGTGTCTGTTATATTGTAATTGTTCATATTAGCATAAGAATAATTAAATTAATATTAAATTGCATTCAACTGTCTCAGATCTAATAATCTGTTGGATCAATATCAGAATCACTATCTGGATTAAGAGACATGCTTTTCTTTGAATTGAAAAATAAAGGTTTTTACATAACCATAACAAAAGTATAATATTTTTTGGTCTTAAACCTAAGCTTGGAAAGAGAAGAGAAAAACAGGAAAAAATGAATAGCCAATTTTGCCTTAGGGAGCAGCAATTGTTTATGTCTAGAATTACTCTTAGAAATATTTGGAAATATATTTTGAGTATGGCAACTTATTTTGATAAACTAACACTGGATTGTGAGAGGACATAACCGTTAGATACGGTACCACTAGAATTTGAGATATTGATTTATAGATTTAAGTACTAAACCTTTATTATTTATATGTTTAAATTTTTAAAAACAAAACAAAACCAAACAAACCTACTGGGAGGATTGAAAAATTAGAAAACCAAAATAAAATAGCCAGATACAAATGGCATACCCATTTTATAGCTTAATTAACATGCTTGGTTAGTACATTAGACATGGAGAAAGGATTATCAACTCTGGCATCAGAACTTAACAGTAGCGTTCTACTGTTTCCCCTCAATTGTTGATCTGGGCGATTTTATTAGCTGGTGTATCAACACGACTTTTGCCAATTGAGTATTTTACAAACAAAAACAGCCCTCCCTCGGGTTGGGAAGGTGAGTTCGTCCTCCAGAGAACCCAAACACTCTCCAGAGAAGTGCCAGTTTACAGTCAAACAGACAAACTGAAAGTCTTGTAATAAAGTTTTAAAAGAAACAGAAACAGACCCTCACCAGAGTTCCTTCCTCCCAACTATTCCTGAGTTTTCAGACTCTCCCCAAATATGTGGTGATTAAAGTCTAAAGCAAACAAGTAGAGTTCTCCCTGACTCAGAGGGGCTGTTAGCATCTTCAACCTCCCTCTGACAAGGGAGAAGATGACTGCTACTATCTTGCCACCCCCTTTCCCATTATGCTTTGCTGTGGAGGCCTACAAATCTTGTCATCCTCTGGCACTTGGAACTGCATTTCCCAGGATTCCCTCTGACCAAAAGTGCAGAGAGCCCTGACTCTCTCACACTTCAAGGCTGTGGTCCTCTGCCTTAGACCGATTCAACAGTCTGTGTTCTCTCCCAAGCCACAAACTGCCACCATGGAACAACTTCCCTTCTCTCAGTGATGATTTCCCTTGTCCCACAAGTCTGTCTTGGATGGCTCATAAAGCATAAACATTCTTTACAGCAAATAGACAAACAAATAAATTCGAGGGAAGATCCCACTGTTAAAATTCTAAAAGCAAGGAATAGGATGGGATTTTTCACTCTGAGCTCTTAGACATCGCTTCCAGATACAGTGAGTAATGAGGGTAATAATGTCCCTAGCATTTAGAGTTAAACCATTGTTTAGATGATTGTTTGAACATCTTTTTGGCATTAAAATCCTGTGCCACACAATTTAGAATAGAACATAACCAGATTTCGTATAGATACTGTGGGTGCTACTAAAAAGAAAAGGAGTACTTGTGGTACCTTAGAGACTAACAAATTTATTTGAGCATAAGCTTTCGTGAGCTACAGCTCACTTCAGCGGATGCATGTAGTGGAAAATACAGTGGGGAAATTTTATATACACAGAGAACATGAAACAATGGGTGTTACCATACACACTATAACAAGAGTGATCAGGTAAGGTGAGCTATTACCAGCAGGAGAGAGGTGGTGGTGGTGGGGGAAATGGGACCTTTTGTAGTGATAATCAAGGTGGGCCATTTCCAGCAGTTGACAAGAACGTCTGAGGAACGGGGGGTGAGGGGGGAATAGTTTTACTTTGTGTAATGACACATCCACTCCCAGTCTTTATTCAAGCTTAAGTTAATTGTATCCAGTTTGCAAATTAATTGCAATGCAGCAGTCTCTCGTTGGAGTCTGGTTTTGAAGTTATTTTGTTGAAGAATTGCCACTTTTACGTCTGTAATCGAGTGACCAAAGAGATTGAAGTGTGGGTGCTACTGTTACGTTTTAATTCAAAGCTTGTTAGGCAAGACTTGCCTGGAGAGTGAATAAGAGTCAATTTCTGAGGTAATTGAACTGTGGTGAATTTTGTTCATTAAATGTAATCTAGAGGCCACATCAAGACCACCAAACCTATTTTACTGATGACTGCAGGCACAGTACAAACACCTGGTTATCTTAAGGGGAGGTACTATTTCTTTAAAGCCTTTCATTTAAGTAGTGGATTTTTTTTATGAAAAAAAGTAAAGGAAAGTTTTAAAGCCTTATGGCATGAAAACACGATATATAGTACATCTGTCAATTGTACTTAAAAGTATATAATGTTGGTTGACAAAAGTATATTTGAAAAACTTGTTCTAACACTGAAACTTTTCAGATTCGAAAGAGAGTATTTTTCCACAAACAAGCAACTAAATGAAGAGATCGAGGAAAAGAAGAAAGTAATTACAGACCTCTCTGAGAGACTCCAGGATAATGAAAAAAGTTGCAGAGAATTACAGGAGGAACTTGCAAAGGTAAGAGAGAAGCCCTGTGGCACTTGCTTTATTGGGCCAGTAGATGACATTATATATTTTACTATATAAAAAGCTGAAGAATGTTATGAAAATGATTTGATTGCACTGTAGGTCTAATCTAAGGGTATGTCTACATTTAAACTGCTACAGAGGCACAGCTGCAATGGTGCAGCTGCCTGGCTATAGCACTTCACTGTGGATGCTACCTACACCTACAGGAGGGGTTGCCCCATCAGCATAGTTAATCCACCTTCCCCAGAGGTAGGTCAACAGAAGAACTCTTCCATCATCCTAGTGCTGTCAAGAGCAGAAGTTAGGTTGACATAGCTATGTGTCTCAGGAGAGTGGATTTTTCACACCCTAAGAGATGTAGGTATGCCGATTGTAAGTTCCCCAGTATAGACCAGCTCTAAAGCTCTGCCACGGTCTTGCTAATGTGGCTTTGGGCAAGTTACTTCACCTCTGTGCCTTAGGCTATGTCTACACTACACATAGTCATGAAGGCATAGTCCCCCAAGTGTACATATAGGCTGACAGAAGGAGTTTTTCTGCTGGTATAGGAACATCACCTTCCCAAATGAGGTTAGCTATGCTCTTTACTCCTGGGGAAATTCTGAACCCTGCAGGGGGGGCGCAGAATTCATACCTTCTGCAGATTTCTTGGCTCAGATTTCTTTTTGCAGAAAAATGGGGGAGCAAAGAAATCTGTGGGGAACACACGCCTCTTCCGCGGCAGCCCAGGCAAGTCTGCTGGGAGCAGCTGGCAGCAGAGAGCAGATCACTGTGGGGAGGGGAAGGGAGGAGAGAGGATAGGTGTGTGTGCACGCATCTGTGAAGACCTTAAGGGGCCAGGGCTGGGTGCCTGCCTGCATGAGAAGGAGTGAGAGAGACTCACTCAGTCCTTCTCCTTGCTGTTGCTGCATCCTGGGCTTGGAGGCATAGGGCTGTGTGAAGCAGGCTCTGTACCTGAGGCACAGCAGAAATGTAACAACTAAGCAGGCAGGCTGCTCATGTACCCATTGTTAGTTAATTGTTCCCATTCTTAGTCAATTAAGGCTCCTTTACCTTGCCAGTGTGTTGTAAAAGAGCCTTATTGTAAATGACAGTAATGGAATCCTCAGCTAATAAGGTCTATGTGCTTTCTCCCTTTTTTCCCTGTGCCAGGGAGGCACAATGGGCTTAGATTACAGCTGAGGAACTGTTTTACTTATCCATTGTAAAAAAAAAAAAAAAATGCAGGACAATGATTAGCAAAACTATGACTTTCATGTGTGAAAGTCTGAGCAATTTAAAGTGACAGTCTACTTTACAAAAAGAAAAGGAGTACTTGTGGCACCCTAGAGCCTAACAAATTTATTTGAGCATAAGCTTTCATGAGCTACAGCTCACTTCATCGGATGCGTGTAATGCAAAATACAGTGGGGAAATTTTATATACACAGAGAACATGAAACAATGGGTGTTACCATACACACTGTAACAAGAGTGATCAGGTAAGATGAACTATTACCAGCAGGAGAGCTGGCGGCGGGGGTGGGACGGGACCTTTTATAGTGATAATCAAGGTAGTCCATTTCCAGCCGTTGACAAGAATGTCTGAGGAACAGGAGGGGGGAGGGGAGGGGAATAAACATGAGGATATAGTTTTACTTTGTGTAATGACACATCCACTCCCAGTCTTTATTCAAGCCCAAGTTCATTGTATCCAGTTTGCAAATTAATTCCAATTCAGCAGTCTCTCATTGGAGTCTGTTTTTGAAGTTATTTTGTTGAAGAATTGCCACTTTTAGGTCTGTAATCAAGTGACCAGAGAGATTGAAGTGTTCTCCGACTGGTTTTTGAATGTTATAATTCTTGACGTCTGATTTGTGTCATTTATTCTTTTACGTAGAGACTGTCCAGTTTGGCCAATGTACATGGCAGAGGGGCATTGCTGGCACATGATGGCATATATCACATTGATAGATGTGCGTGTGAACGAGTCTCTGATAGTGTGGCTGATGTGATTAGGCCCTATGATGGTGTCCCCTGAATAGATATGTGGACATAGCTGGCAACGGGCTTTCTTGCAGGGATAGGTTCCTGGGTTAGTGGTTCTGTTGTGTGGTGTGTGTGGTTGCTAATGAGTATTTGCTTCAGGTTGGGGGGCTGTCTGTAAGCAAGGACTGGCCTGTCTCCCAAGATCTGTGAGAGTGATGGGTCGTCCTTCAGGATAGATTGTAGATCCTTGAAGATGCGTTGGAGAGGTTTTAGTTGGGGGCTGAAGGTGATGGCTATTGGCGTTCTGTTATTTTCTTTGTTGGGCCTGTCCTGCAGTAGGTATCTTCTGGGTACTCTTCTGGCTCTGTCAATCTGTTTCTTCACTTCAGCAGGTGGGTATTATAGTTGTAAGAACGCTTGATAGAGATCTTGTAGGTGTTTGTCTCTGTCTGAGGGGTTGGAGCAAATGAAGTTGTATCGCAGAGCTTGACTGTAGACGTGGATTGTGTGGTGTGGTCTGGATGAAAGCTGGAGGCATGTAGGTAAGCATAGCGGTCAGTAGGTTTCCGGTATAGGGTGGTGTTTATGTGACCATCGCTTATTAGCACCGTAGTGTCCAGGAAGTGGATCTCTTGTGTGGACTGGTCCAGGCAAATACTTACCAGCAACCACACACCACACAACAAAAACACTAACCCAGGAACCTATCCCTGCAACAAAGCCCGTTGCCAACTGTGTCCACATATCTATTCAGGGGACACCATCATAGGGCCTAATCACATCAGCCACACTGTCAGAGGCTCGTTCGCCTGCACATCTACCAATGTGATCATGTGCCAGCAATACCCCTCTGCCATGTACATTGGCCAAACTGGACAGTCTCTACGTAAAAGAATAAATAGACACAAATCAGACGTCTAGAATTATAACATTCAAAAACCAGTCGGAGAACACTTCAATCTCTTTGGTCACTCGATTACAGACCTAAAAGTGGCAATTCTTCAACAAAAAAACTTCCAACGAGAGACTGCTGAATTGGAATTAATTTGCAAACTGGATATAATTAACTTAGGCTTGAATAAAAACTGGGAGTGGATGTGTCATTACACACAGTAAAACTATATCCTCATGTTTATCCCCCCCACCCTACTGTTCCTCAGACGTTCTTGTCAGCTGCTGGAAATGGCCCACCTTGATTATCACTATAAAAGGTCCCGCCCCCCACCACTCTCCTCCTGGTAATAGCTCACCTTACCTGATCACTCTTGTGTTACAGTGTGTATGGTAACACCCATTGTTTCATGTTCTCTGTGTATATAAAATCTCCTCACTGTATTTTCCACTACATGCATCCGCTGAAGTGAGCTGTAGCTCACGAAAGCTTATGCTCAGATAAATTTGTTAGTTTCTAAGGTGCCACAAGTACTCCTTTTCTTTTTGCGGATACAGACTAACACGGCTGCTACTCTGAAACCAGTCTACTTTACAGAACACCAAACACCAAAATAAAAGTAATGTAATTTAAATGAAAATCCAGGATTATAACTGGAATGCAGGGCCTTGATTACCAAGTATTTGTAACTTAACTTTCATGTGTTTAGGAAATGCTGAACAGTTATTGTGATTTATTTTTTCCTGTATGGTAGTTTAAATATATTACCAAAATAAGTGAAAGTGATATGATTATATTGCATTATATTGACAAATAAAATATGCAGAATTTTGGATTTTGGGGCATGGAATTCCCCCAGGAGTAACTGTTCAGTCAGTATGGTTGTCTCTACACTGAGGGTTTTGTGAGCATAGCTGTGTTGTCAGGGGTATGGTTTTTTAGCTATGCTGGTATACATTTTAAGTGTAGACCAGACCGTAGTTCTCTCCTCTGTAAAATGGGGATAAACAGCTCTAACTCACAGGGTGTGATAGAGAAATCCATTTTGAAAATGTATCTTAGTTTCATTATAAATGTTCAGTTTTTAAATAATTCTTTTGTTAGTAAGTGTTAGCTGTTACAATAACCTCCCCTTCCTCCTCCCCTTCTTTTTTTAAACAGATCTTGTTAGTTATGAGTTGGAAGTGGCAAGTCATAAAGATTGTAGGGAGAAAGGAGGAGAATTTGTATGCTGTTATTTCTGTTAAGAATTCTGCTTACAATGTATTTTCAGTGTCCGATTCAATTACCTCACTCGTAGGCGCTGACTTGTTGGGTGCTCCTGGGGCTGGAGCACCCATGGGGAAAAATTGGTGGGTGCTCTGCACCCACCGGCAGCCGAGCTCTCCATCTCCTTCCCTGAGCGTGCTGCGTCCCCGCTTCTCCTCCTAGCTCCCAGCACTTGCCGCCACAAAACAGCTGTTTCGCGGCAGCAAGTGCTGGGAGGAACTGGGGAGGAGCGGGAATGCGGCACACTAGTCAGTGAGCTACAGTAAGGATCTGCATCAGAAGGATCAGCACGCCTGTTGCAGTCAAGAAAAGAAACTTTAATTACTTTCCTCACCCCAGCTTTTATGCTCATGTCTTTTCGAGCATAAAGTCATAGAACAGGACTTCCACCACTCATGCAAATCTTTGGATTTCTTGCATTGCTCTCTTGGCTGCTCATTCCAATTTTTAATACTTTACTTCTGTTGTTACTTCTCCTTTGTCTTTCTCCCACTTGTCTCAAAACTGTATTTGTTAGCCACTGCAGGTACAACTGCAAGAGCTCATAAGGGGACAGGAGCTCATCATTTCACTGTTATCAAACCCCAGCAAACAAACTGGTCACAAGTGTTTTTTGTTTGTTTGTTTCTTTTTTAAATAAACCAAATGGTTGATGATCCCTGGGTTTGTATTTATTTCGACTTTTTAATGACTCAAATAAAACATAGTACTGCTGAGTCATATTTCTTATTCAGACTTCTAACAATTCCCCTTCAAAAGCTGGTAAGCTAATAAACCTGTTTCAGCAAAAACTTTAGCCTGTACCCTCTTGGACTGACTGTTTCCAATGGAGTGTTTCTTCCCAGCTCCTCTCTTTTCTG